GCTGCTGGGGTCAGCATGCACTCAGCTTTATCATCACTCTGTTTTCTTGGCCAGCAAGAAACCAATATTGGATGTTGGGTGGTGAACAGAATAGATGCACATATTACTAATTAATAGTTCCATTTCTATTTCTTAAACTCAATTTCCTCCACAGTTTTGAACATGGTGGAAGTCACCGGATACACCCAGGATTGAAGAAATGTGAGTATCTACAGGAATCTGTTTGTTGAATGTTGCAATGTCTGAATTCTAAAGGCATTAAGATCCTACAGGACTTAATTACGACATGCTCATTTCAGGTTAATGTGGCAGAACTTTTGTTTTAAAGCAGCTTTCTGTGTTTCACCTGAGCTTCCAGCGAGGAGCCTCCCTCAGTCTCTACCACACCACCACAAACATTCACCATCCGTTTCAGTGGGTCCTCTTTACATGGTGTTTTCTGTAAGAGAGGATTTAGACTTATTAGATCTAATGGTACATGTAAAAATACTGGATATTGAAGGACAGCAATAAAATATTAAGAATCGTAGAAATACATTGTTTCTTTTTAAGATCAATTCCATGTACATTAACTTCATTGTAATGGATTTTAAACATTCCTGTCATGGTTCTGCCTTTAAGAGGAAAAATAAACATCACTCATGTATTCAGAAATGTTATTTTGAGAAGAATGTTGACTTTTAACTCAGGAACAACTTTCTTTTGATGGATTTTTTTTAATTACTGCCCAACAGCTCTGTACTTCATGCTGCCAATGGTGGACAAACGGTATACTATTAAAGTCTTTACTGACTATATAAGTGTTTTCTTACCTCCAGATGCCTGTGCGCTCACTTTGGACTCCAACACATCTCACAAGAACCTGCTGCTCTCTGAAGACAAAAGAAATGTAACCTGGGTGGAGGAGGAGCAGGCTTATCCTGATTATACAGAGAGGTTTGATTGCTGTCAGCAAGTGCTGTGTGAGCAGGGACTAAAAGAGCGCTGCTACCTGGAGATGGAGGTGTCAGAGCCCTTTTGTGTTGGGTTAACATACAGAAGCATTGGCAGGAAAGGAGATGTGGATGACTGCAAGCTGGGACAAAACAACAAGTCTTGGTGTCTGATTTGCTCTGATGATGGTTGTTTTGTTGAGCACAACAAAGAGAAGGTCTGTGTATCATCTCAGTGTTTGCGCTGCAGTCGGGTTGGGGTGTATCTGGATTGGGAAGCTGGCACTTTGTCCTTTTACAGAGTTTATTCTGGTAGCCTCATTCACCTCCACACTTTCAAAACAACCTTCAAAGATCCCCTCTACCCTGCTGTTGATCTTCACACCCGTTCCTCTGTATTGTTTTGTCAGCTACCGTAGAAAGAAGTTTCACTGTAGGTTAGAAAATGAATGCCTGCTAAACAACTTCAGGAAGGCTAGACATCAGTTGAAGCCTCAGCACTGTGGAGAAGGCTGTAGCTCAGGTGGTAGCGCAGGTTACCTAGTAATTACAAGGATGGCGGTTCAATCTTAGTCTGCTTCAGCCTGCATGTCAACTATCCTGGGATAAGATACTAACTCCGCCCTCTCTGACACTCCACACCTGTTGGAGTGTGAATGTTCAGTAGAAAGAGCATAGAAATAGTGCTTTTTTGAATGGGTAAATAAGACAAGTACTTTGAGTGCTCCAATAGAGCAGAAATGTATATATAGGAACCAGTTCATTATCTTTGTCAAACAGACAAACAAAAGGTCAAAAAAAGTTGCCCTCTTGAAGTGATCAGTTGATCCTGCAGAGAGGATAAGACAAGAAAACATGTGCTCACTATTCTGTTAGTAACCTTGTTTTATAAACATAACCTTCAGTATGAATATGTATATATGGTTATTTTAGTGACACATACAGTTTTTAAAGTGATGAAAAATGTTTTCAGGTTTTTTAAGAAGTGCATGATTTCTTGACAGATTACGTTAAATAAATAAAAATTTGGTTCATTTGAGGAAAATGAACATCCATAGATAATTTTCATTTCACTTTTATTTTACACCCTCAACTGCTTGATTGCAAAATAGCTACACTTTTAGCCAACAAATCTATATTGATACTGTCAATACTGTCATAAAATGTCAAAAATAAGCTCTCCTGACTCTGGAATAGTGTCTAAGTTGTGGGAAACGGGCATGGAGCTCCTGGAGCTACATATAAAATATTATATGTAATGTGAGTTATTTATATGACTCATCATAATCAACCAGGATTTCTAAAACCACATATTTGTCACACAGGACTGGGAAAATGATGTTAGCATTGAGTTTGACAGTGTGGTAAACAACAGAATAGACTAGTAGCCAAACAGCCAGGGAGCAGGCAGGTGGTTGATAGCAGATCTTCTTTCTTGTACTTACACATAAGCCACATTGTTAATTTGCTAGTTTACCTGCAGTTTACCGCAGCCCAGGTTAAGTCTACACACTGGCTGTTACCTGTTGGTGTAGATCTCATTTTAAACATATAATCTTTTGAATGAATGCGTTTGTATTACATACTTTCTTTAGCAGACCAACATGCTTACAGTATCAGTGCTAAAAAGTGTTTTACATAAAGTACATACTATATTTATTTACAGCTAATGGGAGTGTTGTTAGTTTGAAATAAAACTAACCACCCTGAGGCTGTTTGTCTCTTGGTTTCCAGCTCACAATATTTTGACCAAAATTATACTCAAAGTTTTGAAACAAGTGTGTTGCAGGAAAAAATGATTCCTTACATTAAAGTTTTGTGATACATTAACGAGGTAAATATGGTCGAGGTCTCACTACTTTAAAAGCATTATGTCAGTGTTGATTTGATAGCTTAAGCTGCTCTCTCGGGATGAAGTAAAAGTGGAGCAAGCAGCATAGTTGCACTAGTACATAAGGAATGTTAATAAGTAGTAGTCTGGTTCTTTTATGTCGATTTGAATGTAAAGTATATAATAAAGCACAGAATAAAAGATACCTTAGCAGTGTGTGTGTGTGTGTGTGTGTGTGTTTCTTTTTTGATTGGCAGCAAGTTTGTTCCCCTTCCTCTGATGTTAGACTGATGAAAAACTGCTTTTAATATTTTAATATTTTTTATATTTTTATATACTTTTATATAATATTGATATACTTTTATACTTTTATATAAAAGTATTTTTATATACTTTTAATATTTTCTATATGTACATTTAGTTTTAAATGTGCTTTTAAATGTGCTTTTAAAAAATAGACTGGGATATTAAAGTAATCTGTACCATCAAGTGCTGCTGTTCTGTTAACCTTTGCAATATCTTTTCAGCACCTCAGGTTTCTTCAAGAGGCTGTGACTTACCTGGTTAAATGCGGATTTGACTGGCACACAGTGGTACAGGTTGGTATCACATAAATCACTGATGTCTGTTTATTTATTTTTTTTAAAAAGCCCCAAAGAAACAGCTACAGTCAGGTAGCAGTTGTTTAGCAGATAAAGTAGTACCTAGGAGTAAGGGAGGTACACTCAAAGCAACTGTATTAACTGAGTTTTGATGAAATTTGGAAAATTTAAAGCTCTGAAAACAACACAGGAATTTATCTAAATATGTTCAAACAATATTTAGGTGTATTTGTTCAAATATACACATCATTACAATTCACTACGTCTTAATCCTAAAATATTTTTGATGTTCTCACCAGAATTCAGCTCATTTCATTTATCATATGAGAAAGATATTCCTTAGCAGTAGAGTAAAAGTATTGCTTTTAAAAAAAAACCTCTTGGTTTTTGGGGTTTTTTTTAATAAAGGGGTACCTTCAGATGCTCACTTATTTCTAATGGTCACTGTATTTGTACAGATTCGACACAGGATGCTCCTAAACTGTAAAATTCTAAACCAGCTGGCACAGCTAGAATTCATACAAATACATACATAATATACACAATCTAGCAGGCGGCAGTGGTGTAGATCGTCTACTGACAGACTATTCACATTGTTCTCAGTGTCATGTTCTGTCCCTTTTCTACAAGCCTCATTCACGGTGTGATCAAAGAGCAGCATAACTGTGTTTTGCACCCATGCTACTTAAACATAACACCACCAGTTAACTGCCAAACACGTCCTGGTTTGTTTCCTGTGGGAACTGTTTTCTATTGAAATTCCCTTCTTTACTTGCTCTTTACTTTCACTTAAACTCACTAGGTTTAGGCACCATAAACTTTATTGTCCTTTGGTATTTTTTGTTAGTCAAATATTTTGTTTCACAATTTAAAAAAAAAACGTAGTTTGTTTTAAAGAAAAAAGACCCTTCACAGATGTCATCCTGTCTCACTGACAAATTACTTTGGAATGACTGAGCTTTGGATTGTGGCTACCCCTATAATAAATCATCACAGCAGCTGCACCATCTGTTCCTAAACTAAGCACCAGCACTGGCTATTTTAAAAAATTCCGATGTAGCTAATCAGGCATGTTTCTCATTCAGTTGTGATATTGCTTTTTATTTTCTGTGGGATTCTGTGAGATATGACTTTTTTTCCCTTTTATTCAGCTATCAGTAGTTCTAGTATTTGTCGTGTTGATTGAGAAGTGCCTATAGACTGTAAATTGTCCAAGAATCCAATATGGGATCATATCATACTATATCAGTGTCATCAGGCAGGGACAATGCAAAGCAAACGTAGTCTATGTGTTACCTGATGGGTACAATGTTGCTGCTGCTCCTGCTGCTGATAGTGCTGGAGGGCAGGGCTGTGCTGATCTGAGACTGTAGACATTAGAAAGTCCACAGGAGAAATGGTAGCTGATTGAACAAGTGTTATGAGATAATAATAAAATGCAAAGATTGGCGACAGTGCTTGGAAACCATAAGGCAACAAAAGTGAGAAATAAACTCGGCTCTGCATGTGAATCACTCTTTGCCTCTCTTCCTCCTTCCATCTCCTCATCTCATCTATCACTCTCCACTTGCTGTCCGTCTGAGAAAAAGGCACAACTTGATATTGCAATAATCCAGTTATTCTCAAACTTTTTACATCATTCCCCACATGGCAGGAATCCTTCTCATTTTCCATCTAAACAAAACTATGACAGAAAGCCTAGCAGCAAATTTATTTAGATAATAAACTCATTCACAATAAATCCTTCTGTAATTTCTGTTTTGAACAAACAGCTTTCATTTCAAACAACTGTTTGTAACTTTTGTCACTAGACTGATTCATTAGTCTGCATCACTTCTTCAAAAAAGCAACAAGTTAAACAGAATGTGAACATTGCCAAACATGGAAAAATAAAGTTCAGTCTTAGTCTTATAAAAAAAGAAATCCAGAAAATTGTGAACAGAGATGAAAAATATCTCTGTTCACACACAATTTAGTGAGAGTCTACTATTCACTCTTTGGCTACGTTCACACTGCAGGCGAAAGCACATCAAATCCGACTTTTCTGACCCTATGCGACCCATATCCGATCATGGTATGACAGTGTGAACGGCACAAATCCGATCAAGGTCACTTTCGTAAGTGGTACTGAATCCGATACATATCCGATGTTTTAGAAAGCAACTGCTGTTTGAATGGTCATGTCGCATTAAATCCGTCTTTTACGTCACTGACACAAGACAGACGCCAATTATCAGCGCCGGAGAAGACATCGTGAACGCTTCCTGGCCATTCAGAGAAACTGTTGGGAAGACAACGTTGGTGAAACGTGAACATTTTATTTGTACTGTATAATCTGCAGATTCTGGCAGAAATCTGCAACTATCCTCCTCTCTAAAACAGCAATTAGGATAATTATTAGGCCATATGTAAATAACCCAATAACTTTATAATTTAAAGCAAAATTGGGAAACGTAAAGTCCGAAGTCTTTACATTAAGGGCCATCAGTCAAACAATACTGTTTGCTCTGGGTCTAACAGAGCGTTGTGTGTGACTTCTTCTTTTGCGCATGCGGGTTCACAGACTAGAGCACGTTTGCTGTCACATTTTATTTGTAGTGTGAACAAGCAGACAAAAAAAATCGGATTTGATCAAAAAAAATCGGAATTGAGCATTAAGACCTGCAGTGTGAACGTAGCCGTTTCGTTCGTGAACACGTCACTTGCCTGCTTGCAAATAGTGAAGCACGAGGGGATCGTGCTTCACTATAACGTAACGATATAAAGAGAAAAGGACAGCTATAACTCACATTAATGAAACTTTAGGTTCATTTAAGTAGTTGTATTCACGATAATTACTTTTAAACACTTGGAGCCTGTGAGGTCCGAAGTCTGTTGCAGCACGTGGATTTCCATCATCTGTGGACACAAGGAAACGAAACAGAGACCTGACTTTATATATTGTTTAATTAAACAAGAAGAACGAAGGCAGGAGGGACCAGGACGAGGCTTTTTGTCCTTCAAACAAAAGTAAGTAAGATCCGTGTATCACGTGGGCAGCGAGCATGTCCGCTGGGTTTGATTAAAATATCTGTTATTTGACTAAAGCAAGAATATTTTGCTCATTTTGCGCATTTTCCCTTTTTTTAGTGTGCTTCCTTAAAACAGCTACAGTTTGGATTGCATTGTAGTCGTTAGAGGAAGTGACTGGTGTCCTTTGTCTCCATGGTTTTGTTTCCCAAAACCGGCTTACCTGAATAATTCAGGCGCCGACCTGGTTCAGTGTTTACTGTGATTTGCGAAGGTAACCACTGTCAACTTTGGAATCTATGTTTTAATGTATTACAACACATTATATTGCACATCTTTTCTGTGCAAATACAAATGTGGTAGCACAGTGAGACGACCGTTATAACGGTCTGTATGCCCGGATGCGGGTGTGTTTTAGTCGGTTTAAGATAATGTTAATACTTATAGTAAACTGTAGCTTTCGTTCTGTGATTTGCATTGACTCAAACACAATTTTCATTCACATTTCCTCTGCAAAGCTACAGTAATGTGTTTTCCTAGTTTTTACTGTTGCTAAGCTTATTTTGTGAGAGGGGTTCATTATTTCTTCAGATGATTATTGTCTAACTTAAAAACGTAGATTTTGACCCAGCCTTTTGAGTTTTAGTTTATTTGGATGTTATGTTTAAGTTCTTTAGGGTAGCTAAGTTCATTTGTTTATTAGTTTCTCTTGGTGTTTTCTACCATGGTATTTAAGTTTCCCTCTCCCTGTTTCCATGCTGCGTGTCTTATGTTGTCAAGTTTATATTGTCTTGTGTGCTCTCATGTTTCCTGTTTTATTTCGAAGGTCTGTGTCCTATGTCCTAAAGCACTTTGAATCACCTCGTTGTTGAATTGTGCTATACAAATAAACTTGCCTTGCCTTGCCTATGTCAGCTTTGCTTCCTTTGGCTGTATCCCAATTAAGAGACAGCATGCTTGAAGTACGCGCACTATGCGTACGGTGCATACTATAAGTACAAGATGTGCGGAAGTGAGAGGCTTGCGAAATGGGACGGTCTAGCCTTCGTTGCGCTGTTCAGGTTGCCTAGCAACCATGATACTAACAGCGAGAAACGTT